TGGTTCTTGAATTGATTATGATCATTTAAAGATTCCTTGTTTTCTTGTGTGTTTTTTTTCTATCAGCAAATTATGAAGGAACGCTAGAATTATGCCTATAAGAATTTCTGCGTTGTTATATATATTTCAAAAAGTTAACCTTAGATTTATTGTAATTAAACACATTTAGACTTATCAAGTACGTAGATTTTGTTCAATAATCCAAAAATCAGTCATGATGTACGAACCGTGTTTATTTGTAGGTACATGTAATATGTACTTTTGGCGAATGGTATCTCGCCAAACGAACTGAGATGAGAACGGATTAAGATTTCCAAAAAACAGTACTTTACATCTACAATAACAAACAAGTAGAGAACCTTTAAAGGTATTTGGATAACTACAGATTTATGTGATTAGAAAAATATAAAAACGTAATTCTGATGTTGAATTTACGAATGGATTGCCTATGTCGTATATGTTAAAATTTAAACTATTTTACTTGTAAATCAAGTTCCACCATGGTAACACATTATAAAGGGAATTTCTTTTCAAAATTAAATAATACATTGGTAATTATTGTAAGAAGCTAAGAGAACTCAAGCCCATTCAATTATTAAATGTTATACATTCAACTTATTCAATAGGGAAATTCAGTGATAACTTATACATATTTTGATTTTCTACACATTTCCTTGAAAATAAAGTGGAAAGGAATAACACTAGGACAAAATACAAATACAAATGGACAAAATACAACAAAACTATTGTGTTTAGCTTAAAAACTGTTGAAAATGTCTTAAATAACCAAATGTGTACAAATCTATTTTTATTAAATAATCGGTAATTAAAAATCAATCTTAAACTTAATGGTTTTTTATTGTTTAAAGATCTTTATTTCTAAGAATTATTACTTCTTTTCAATTGGCAAGAAATTCAACTGCGAAGGGCCTTTCACATATAAAACAACAGAAATGAGGCCTTTAAACCCCTCTAATTCATGAAGAGTACCATGAGAATTAAGCGCCAATTTATGATTTAAGTCCCCTTAGTTCATGCGAAACATTATAACAGTTGGGAGCCTAACCCTTTCTATTCTATATACATGTTTATAGATATGAAATAATTTCGACTACAAACGTACGAATTACCTCAAAGTAGTAACAAAGGATTATGATCTCAATCGTAAATATGACAGTGAAAATCCTAATGGAAGTCAGTTATGAAGCATTATTTTTTGGTGTTTTATATCATAATATAGAAAGTATAAAATGAATCAGAAAAGTATTATGTGCAATAAAGACAACGTAAAAGAGCTTAAATATTTTCCACCTTTTCGGGGAGAGTTCATTAAAGATAATGTCATTTTACTAAAATGTATTGCCAGATATATTTTTGCTTTTTATTGAAGAATATCAAATGTTTTTTTTTATCTAATACCTAACAAAAACATTCATTAATATGAAATAATTTAAAGATCTAAACAAGGCATTCAATGAAACCTTTCTCCCTCTGAATCATGATGAAAAAATTTACTATATACTTTCTTCACTGATAACTGAAGCATATTAAATTACATCTTTTTAATGTAACCCCTAACTCAACTACACGATAATTTAAAATAATTTATATCATTTTAACATAAAAATTTCAACAGGAAATTCTATGATAACAATCTTTTTTTGTTGTTGTTTCTTATTGAAAGGAATCACTATACATGTTCTACACTGATATTTAATGTTAAAAACATTTTAAATATGTATTCATATACTTAGGAAGTATTTCTAAAGTAAATAATATCTGAAATCAGAGGTAAATATTTCAATAGTGTAATGAATGTAAGAAATATCTCTAGAATATTCTGGATGTCTTTTAAAACTGGAAGCATGATCTATACTTTTTCGAAGAAAATATTTATGCGGACAATTGATGAAAATAAAATTGTATTTTTAATCATTTTTCCTACTGAGGGTTTCGCGTTAATTAAATTGTCTGCTTAACTCGTAGTTTATTTTGTTTTACTGGAGAATTTCGCGCAAAGCTGCACAAGGCTAGCTGTACTATCCGTCTCTAATTTTTGACCTGAAAACTACAGGAAAGGCAGGTAGTCAACAGTATCCACTGCCAATTCTTTGACTACTGTCACTCATTAACACACCTACGGTAGAAATGTGCGGAGCGTTTCTGTGGCAAAGGGATATGAACCATGAAGCGTTGGATCCACAGTATGGACTCATTAAAGAGTAGGCCACGCTTGGTCCCTAAATTCGAAAAAATATATAAAATGTTCGCACTAATTACAACCTTTAGAAGTCATGCCCAGGAAATTTCATGTGTATGAAATTCTAACGAATATCGCTGAATGCTTTAAAATCGTCATTCTTCCATTATTATACATTTTGTGTTGTAGGCATTCTGGGGATAGTATCTACACGTATAAAATATTTTTTATCGTGCGAGTTTGAACTTACTGCATTGTTGTTGTGACAGTTCCCTTTCTAAAGAAAATTAGCTGCTCAGTTCTACATTGATCCTAAGTGTCGACTTGAATTATTTCGATTCTAGACGTAACTGATATCTAATGTCTGTACAACCTGACAGTAAACTATTGTTCAGAGGTTTAGATGCCGCAAGGGGAAAATTGATTTATCAGTTCCACAATTTTAGTTGATTTGAAGGAAAACCTAAATGGTCACAAAACATTTTCTAATTGAATATATTTTCGAGTTTGTCACAGGTTTTACCTCACTTCAGCTGTTGGTCAGAGACATTTGTAACTTGTTTTGCGACTGAAAACTCTAAGATGGTTACATAATTATTTTTGTTACTAGTTTTGTGTATTGGTTGAAATATAACGACTAACTCATATACAATCATTAGGTGAAACAGTTCAGAATTATTATTTTCTTAACCTTTACAAGATGTAAATTAATTATTCCTTTTAACATAATATAAACATATTGATTTAGAAATAATTTAATTTCAAATTAATAGAAATTAAATATATTTTAACAAACTGTAACATAAATAAAGTCCGCAATTTTGTTGTAATTACATGGGAACAGGTAAGTCTGACAAGGCCAGACATGGTGACAGACTGTAAATATGGGAATTCATTGTTCGCTTATTATTGTCGCTCACTAAAATTGAACTTCTGCTGGAACTAGACAGATACCAAAACTGATACTGAACGAGAGACGAAACGCGCAAATATGGGTGAAAACTGTTTGTTTGTTTGTAATTAAGCACAAACCTACATAATGGGCTATCTGTGCTCTGCCCACCACGGGTATAGAAACCCGGATTCTAGCGTTGTAAGTCCGCAGACACACCGCTGTGCCACTGGGACGGTGGGGGGGGGGGGCATGGGTAAAAATAAGGCGTTTTTCTGCCTGATCTCACTACTTTAGTATAAAACAAATATGTTTCAAAATGGTTACTTAATATTCTTATTTGAACTCCAGATAATTCAAGTGAGAATATCTGCCTACTTATAGCAAGAACAGAAACAGAAAAAGTTTTGTAAATATCGCTTCCTACAATAAAAAAATAATGATCTTCCGAACTTCAAAATTAAAGTCGTTAGAAAATCATTAAAGTTTTCTCTGTAGCAATAAAATCTGGAAATACAAGGTTTTAATCTTATTAGGCTCTATTTAAAAAACAACGTCAGGTTTCTTTGGCGTTAATCACATAATTGGCCCGTAAACATTGTAGTACTTTCAGATTTACTGTTTTCTCGTTCATTTAGAAATTGCAACCTCAATAGCTAGAGGAATGTCAGGATATTTTATGCAGTAATAAATCTAAATTATCTCACCCTATGTTTGAAAGAGGAAATATACTAAATACAATTAGAGCGAAATGGAAAATAATGTTTATTCAAAGTACAATCATATATTAAAGTGATGGGTACCCAGGAGAATGGCCAATGATCAAGATCTAGACTTTTCCAGATTAGAAATGGTATCTTACTTGTCCCTGACAGACAGAGACAGCACATCACCATATACAAAGCTTTTTAGCGTCATCCCTCTAAGTGTTCATTCGCTATTTACGTTATTTTTGGTCATTCCAACATCATATAAGGAGAACACGTCCTCATCTCATCTGTCCATATTACTGTTCACCTTCACAAAGTGCGTTGCATGCTATGTAATATTCCAGCGAAAACGTGCATTAACCCTAAAACAGAATGAGCCAGCATAATAGGTAACTAGGCCGAACGTAATCTAGCCACGATAAATAGCCAGAATTCAATACTTGTAAATCCAAACACTGGGCTAGAAACGTGCATGCACGAACGTTTTAAAAACAATGTTTCAGAAACTCATGCTTCAGTTCATAAACTTGACTTCATAAAATTAGTCAAATATAATAGAATGTGACATTTACTTGTTATTTATATATCTTAATCTTACCAGCTCATTAGGTTACTTGCTCCACAAACATCCAAAAGCAGTTTGTCATTGTGAAATGACCGTTTTTGTTGTACTTACTCAACTGATAATGTTTCAGTCACGTTACATTTAAATGATCTGGGTGTACTTTATATTTTACTTCCTGGTCAATATAATATGATATGAATATAAATTATAATGCATTAGTTAAAATATTTTTCCGTATTTAATCGAAATTCAAAATTACCTTTGTAATATGTAATACCTAACCGAAACAATAAATTTTATTTATTAAATTCTAGCATCAAGGGTTTTAATTAGAGCTATTCCAACTATAAAATATTTACATTGACAAAGCGGTACGTCTATGGACTTATACCACTAGAAACTAGGTTTTGATACCCGTGATAGGCAGCGCACTGATAGCCCTTTTTGTAGCTTTGTGCTTAATAACAAACAACAACCCTGGAATATGTTTTCAGGTACTAAGAAAATAGTTATGATGTGACATTCATAGAACTTACAAAGGAAATAAGAAGGTAGTATATTTTCATTACAAAGATTACACAAATATGAGATTAAATTGATACTGATTTACATATAAATTACGTTTACTTTTAGGAAACGACAGCTGTCCGCCAGAGTTTGATGGTTGGGGATGTTGGGAAGCGACACCTGCTGGTCAAGTTGCAAAGATAGAATGTCCCAGTTTTGGATCATTAGCAGAAGACAAAAGTAAGCTTAAAGTATATTTTCACTAGAAAGGGAGTGGGGCTGGAACTCAGATCACAAAATATTAATATAATTAAGATGTTACGCAGTTACAGCACTCTAGGTATATTGTAATATCTTGATCTTAATCTAACAAATCTTACCTACTACCATGTTATTTGTCATCTCATTATTTGAAAGTAAGATTATAATACCTTTATAACATCAACTTTTGATATAGTTTGATTACTGTACATGGAAAATCTACAGAAATAACAAAACAGTTAAAATACACACTTAAAAAAACTCGATAATTTGACCGTTATCAGAATTTTAGCCCTAAAAATGAAGGTCCGTTATTCAAAAGAACTCAGACTGTCATGTTTAAAAAAGATGAGCGTTTAATATGACCAATTTACATCACTTAAACAACTGAAAACTCTCACAAAGTTGCAAATAAACCGGTTTCATAAATGCTTTTAAATTGGCATATATATTTTTTCAAGAAGAAAAAGTTCACGTGTTCTAACTTTTTGAACTTCTGACCAAATAATTTTCCATCCATCCTGATTGACTCGAAATCACGCAATTCCTAAATAATCACGTAATTAACAGTTTTAACTGGAAACGATATACTTAACGCTCCATACTATCTTTGTTAATTGTCACAACCTGGGACAACTCCCTCACCCAGATAAAAGTAGACGAAAGATATTACAGAGGGTCTAACTAAAAGTACATGTAATTCTGTAAACTCTAAACTCTTAGAGTAATCTATGACTTGAGTAAGTATCACATGTGATAATTTGTCACTTGTGGATTTAATCTTATCTATATAAATATAATATCACTGTCTGTTGTATGTCCATGTAATTACTTCGCAGGGTGTGGATGGATCTTCACTAAAAATGGCAGGGAAGCTCATAATATCTATGCGGAGGTACATACAAATTTTTAGTTTTTGCCTTTTGCGTTTTTTATGGGCGTTTTTTTACAATTATATATATAAAGGAAGCAACTCTTCATCTCCTAATATAACCCTTCATTAAGTATGAAGTTACATAACTTCACCCCAGGGGACGGGTACGCCATCTAGTATAAAAATGAAATAATAACAGGAAAGTTAAAACAAAAACTGGTTCGTAATAATAAATAGCATATCAAATGTTACTGAGCACGCAATTCATATGTACAAAAGGTAAATTAATTGAATTTTTCCAGAATAAGTATTTAGCGTTGTCGTAATTCTTATATACATTTTTATAGCATTTTTATACTTTAATAATTTTAAAGTATAAAATCAATACAAAAAACATCCTCATTTGCTATGTTGTTGTGTTTCAGGCTAGTTTGAAAATATTGTAAGAAATATAATTCAAAAATCGTGAACAAAATTAAAAATAAATAAGAGAATAGTTGATAACTAAACAATGTTAAAAACACTAACTAAAACCAAATTCCAGTAATAACAAAAAATCCATCAGGCTTCGGAATCTTTTATTTCAACGTAAGGATTGTATTTGTACAAACAATCTGTGCTCTTTTTGTGGTTTCGTATATATATTTAGGTTATAAAACCCAAGCTGCTCTACAATCTGACGCAGCACTAATTTAAAAAAACGCCTTGTTCTTAAACGACAGTTTAAAAATCCAGTTTGATATTTGTATATTTTATTTGATGCAAGACTTTTTTCTGACAGTGATACAACACTATTGCAACATAATTATTATCACCTGTCAAAACAATGAGAAATTTTCATAATACTGATACAGAAGAGAAAGTAAACTTTTGAGCATAAAAGTCATTTTAAAATAAACGATTTCAGCAGTATGAACTATTGTGATGTAACGTTTCGACACCAGTTTTATGACGTTATTATTGAGAATTTTATGAATGGAGTTGATTTAAACGTATCTACTGACGACTAAAACTTGTCAACTTGCGTTATAATACGTTGAATCACGAATGTTTATCATGTGCCATGTAGTACGATGTCCAATTTCTTTCAGTGGATTTCACTTTTTCAACATTTGAGCTAGCGTTTCGTTACGACTATCGCAAGACTGAATAGTTTTTGGATAACATGTGTGAGTCTAGACAGATGTTATTAACTTTTACCTAGAGGTCCAAGGCACATTCAAACTGATTGCAAAGCATTTTAGTTTACGCTTCATAAAGAACATCAACACTAATCCAGATGAACACTGCTTCAGATATTAACTCTCTAGAAATCTCATATCGTTTTCGATGTCAATTTTCAACACACATGAATACCTTTGCTTTTGGTGCTCTTTTACAGAAATAGACTATTATACAACTCTTACTACGTTAAATCATCATCGTATCTAAATTATTTACTTTGTTGATTCTCTTGTACGTTATCAAGTGAAAAGATTCATCGTATTCAACTCTATTAAATTTCTTCCAGCTCAATGAATGTATACAGACCAATATTTTAGCAACATTTTAGACCTCAAAATAATTGCAGTAATAATATTTTGACCACAGCCTCAAAAGTTCACCTCTACGCTCTTATTAATATTTCGTATGTTGGTGACACACAAGCACGTTCATCCTATATAAACGACATAGGTCCAAACTATCTCTTTCACTCAACTTGTGTATCCCATCGTCTTTAAGAGATGTTTGTGATTAATCCTTATGCCACCTCATACTTCTCTTAGTTCTGAATTGTTCTGTATACTTCGTTAGTTGCTGCATTTGTATTATGAAAATCGACACTTTATGATAAACACAAATAAAAGTATATATCTAGATTATAATTTTCGTATCAGATCATAACATAAATTACTTGACACGTGTTTAAAGAGATACAGTTATTACAAGAATACAAAATTAAAAGTTTAACATTTAATTTCAATGATACATTTTTATTTTACAGTAGCTATATAACAAATGACTCATCAACTCTCTTTGTAATCTCTAGCATCTTTGTTTTATTCAACTGCTTGCATAGAAGTTGAGTATGCTATATTAAGTCGATTTTGAATCCTTACCACGTCGTTTCAGTCGATGTTCACACATCCGGTCATGTTTTCACGACCATGCATCTTGACTATAGCTCTGCATCGTAGTTTCCATTGCAAAAGGTGCTGTCGTAAGCTTAGGTAGAACTTGTTGCAAATCTTTCTGAATAATTCACATTCCTTTTTAATCTAACGCCATTAAATTCCTGATTTGAGCACATTTTTATGATTTGAGTGTATGAATATTTTTCGATGGAAAAGGGCTGTTACACACACTTCCCAAAAGCGATTACTTTTCGGTGGCATCCCTCTTCCTACGAACGCCAAACAATGTTAAAATGTAGATCTGATATGCTGTTCTACTGCGACTTTATATCGGCTGTAGTTTTTACCTAACTTGCTGATTTGTATCCTCAAACTAGTTTTAATTTTACGTACCCAATCCTCTATAAAGGTCTTCGATAAACCAGTAGCTTTTTAATGTGTTGTTTCTTCCTTTAGACCAACGCAACATTTGTGTACAGATTTCAAACACAGATTGACCTGTTCAAAACTACAAACAAATTACATGTCGAACAAAAATTCAAATTAAGAGTTCTTATAGGTTAAAAAAAAACACGAAGTTATAGCTAGTAATCACCAAACTAAGCTTGTAAAGTTCATGAAATAGAGACAGAAGGTATGAATAAGCACACCCAGATAAGTACAGAATTCGGGCACTTAAATTGTATTTATCAATTGCGAAATAAATAGGAGATATTTAATGAAAATTAAGAAAGAACGAATGACAGGCTAAATTTGTCACACACGTATTGAGAACACTTAAGTGCAAACTATCAGTTATGATGGTAGATTTATACATTTTAGTAGCATGAAAAATGACTAGCCAGAATATTACCAATAGAACATATATTTTAACCTTAAGTCTTTGTTTGCTGCTTCAGAGCTCTATAAATGTATATATCACTTTTTTATAATCTCTTGATTCATTCGTTAGAATACCTGGAATTAAATTATAATAAATTCAATATGATAACATACGAATAATACAATTCCAATTTCAAAAAAACACTTTTAATTACCATAATCGGAGATTGCTTGTACTATTCATGAAATTTGATTATACCATGTTATTCAAATCATGAATTTGTGTTTGTAGTTTAGCACAAAGCTACACAATGAGCTCTCTGTACTCTGCTCACCCCGGTTATCGAAACCCGGTTTCTAGCATTGTAAGTCCGCAGACATATCGCTGTGCCACTGGGGGGTGAGGGTGGGGCTAAAACTATGAAAACTAGAACTCAGTAAAATAATTTTGTGTGTCTATTAGAATCAACAAATTAAGTACTCAAGAAAATGTGTTTGTATGTGATCGTTTTATAGCATAATGTATAATTAGAGAAACTACATCTTAAAATTGTATTATATATATAAACAGAATTCAGATTTTGATTAAAAACATAGTATTTTATTCGTATTAAAATTTCTAATTATATTTAAATTTCTTGTTGAACTAATGGAATTTTACTTAATTATTCCAAAGAAGATAATTTGCCCACGTGAAAGCTAAAATATTTAACATTTCCTTTCTGTTGCAATAGTACTATTATACGTAATATACATATACATATGTGTGTATACATAATTTTAAAAAGGATTGTTAATGTAATTTAACTTGAAAATTTGAAGCTATTCCATTAATTGCACTTGGATATTTCTAGCTTGTTTTTTATAAATATTTTAATAAGGTACAAGGAATCTCTCATGTGAAAACGCCTAGAGTTTATTAAAATAATATTCAGTAGTAAAAGGAAATAAATTTAAAAAATCATGAGCGTTGAAAATTAGTTATAAAGCGTAGTCATCCGGGTTAAGCCTAATGGACCAGATTTAGGTTTATCTGGTTTCACTCACGGAGATTTCAACCTATCAAGTTATGAGTGATCATCTTTGAAAGTAACGCTTATTTCTTATTTTAGTCCTAATTGAAAATGGTACATTTTTACCCTCTAAGATAACAAATCTAAATGTTCGTG